TTACGGTGAAGGGGGAACCTGAGGGCACTGTTACGGTGAAGGGGGAACCTGAGAGCACTGTTACGGTGAAGGGGGAACCTGAGGGCACTGTTATGGTGAAGGGGGACCTGAGGGCACTGTTATGGTAAAGGGAGAAACTGAGGGCACTGTTATGGTGAAGGGGGACCTGAGGGCACTGTTATGGTAAAGGGAGAACCTGAGGGCACTGTTATGGTGAAGGGGAGAAACTGAGGGCACTGTTACGGTGAAGGGGGAACCTGAGGGCACTATTATGGTGAAGGGGGACCTGAGGGCACTGTTATGGTGAAGGGGAACCTGAGGGCACTGTTATGGTGAAGGGAGAACCTGAGGGCACTGTTATGGTGAAGGGGGAACCTGCGGGCACTGTTATGGTGAAGGGGGAACCTGAGGGCACTGTTATGGTGACGGGGAGAAACTGAGAGCACTGTTACGGTGAAGGGGAACCTGAGGGCACTATTATGGTGAAGGGGAACCTGAGGGAACTGTTATGGTGAAGGGGAACCTGAGGGCACTGTTATGGTAAAGGGGGAACCCAAGGGCACTGTTATGGTGAAAAGAGGACTGGAGGGCACTGTTATGGTGAAAGGAGAACCTGAGGGCACTATTATGGTAAAGGGGGAATCTGAGGGCACTGTTATAGAGAAGAGGGAACCCAAGGGCACTGTTATGGTGAAGGGGGAACCTGAGGGCACTTTTATGGTGAAGGGGGAACCTGAGGGCACTTTTATGGTGAAGGGGGAACCCAAGGGCACTTTTATGGTGAAGGGGGACCTGAGGGCACTATTGTGGTAAAGGGCGGCCTTTGCTCTTCACTCTGAATCTAGTTTTGTGTTAAGGGGGATGGTTTGCCTTTGCAGGCACACTTCATCATTTAAGGCAGTATCCAAAGCTTAGCCAGTCATTGACTGATACAGACATTTTTACCTATGCGTTTTCCTATGGATTGTTGACTACCTTTGAGAATTATCTCAGCTGAGAAAAGCTAACCCACTAGAACAACAGCCAAATAATTTTGAAAAAGAAGGACAAATTTGGAGGTCTAATATTTTCCAATTTCAAAACTTCTACACAATGGCAGTAGTAAAGACCAGTGGTGCTGGCATAAGGACAGACACACGCAGAGGTCTGACAGTTAAGTTGGTGAACGTCACAGCATGTGTTTACATTGGCGGCACTGACCGAGGAGCTCAGTAAGGGTTCCTACCTTGGGGTATCAGCATCTCACAGGTGCATCTGTGCTGATGGCCGTGTCTTGCCGAGTGGTGTTCACTAGTATTGTTTCATGGTTTTGGTGCTGTTGCAAGAATGTTGGCACTTGAATTAGAGCAATGAACAAACATTTGTAAATTTCCTGTAAAATCTGACAAGAGTGGAAGTGAAATCAGGGACATGTTAGTCCAAGTTTATGCAGATAATGTTCACGAAGGAAATGGCAGTGCACAGATGGATTAAACATCTTTCTAACAGGAGAAACAGTGTCACTGATGAAGAGAGGTCAGGGACGCCAGTAACAAGCAGAACTGATGAAAACACTGCAAAAATTCACCAAATTGTGCATCAGGATCTCCAGATGACTATGAGAAGCACAGCAGACCAAGTAACATCCATAGGAAACAGTCAGGAAAATCTGAACTTGAAGTCTTGGCCAACTCGCGGCTCTTGCAGCACAACAGCGCCCCAGCTCACATGCACCTGGCTGTGGGGAGTTGCTAGATGGTAAACAAATAACTATATTGGGACACCTCCTTACTCACCTGTTCTGGCCCCCTAGACTTTTTGGTTTACCTGCAGATAAACAAAATAGGAAATGAAAGGAGGATTTTTTTTTATGACATTCAGGACATCAAGGGTAATATGACAACAGCTATTATGGCCATTCCAGAATTGCAGTAGAGGGTGGACAAGGTGCTGACGTGGTGCACGGCTACTCAAGGGAAGTGCCTCACAGGTGACCATAGTGATACTCAGCAACAAGGTATGCAGAACTCATTCTAGGGAGAGTTTGTGAACTTAATTGTCAGACCTCCGAGACCAATAGAACAAAATAAAGAGCCCAGAAATAAACCCTCATGTGTAAAGTCAAATGATTTTTGACAAGAGTGCCAAGACGATTCAATGAGGTAAAAGACAATCTTTTTAGAAAATTACTCCAGGATAACTGGGTGACCTCATGCAAAAGGATAAAGTTGGGCCCCTTACTTATACCAAGAAAATTAATTCCAAACAGATCACTGAGGGCTCGGCGCCCATAGTACAGTGGTTGCGGCACCAGCCACATATGCCGAGGGTGGCAGGTTCAAACCTGCCCTGGGCCAGCTAAACAACAATGACAACTGCAACGAAAAAACATAGCCATGCATTGTGGCAGTCGCCTGTGGTCCCAGCTACTTGGGAGGCTGAGGTAAGAGAATTGCTTGGGCCCAAAAGTTGAGGTTGCTGTGAGCTGTGGCGCCATGGCACTCTACTGAGGGTGACATAATGGGACTCTGTCTCAAAAAAAAAAAAAAAAAAAACAGACCACAGAGATAGATGTAAGAGCTAAAACTATAAAACTCTCAGAGGAAAATGTAGGAGCAAATCTTCATGACCTTGGATTACATATCATCTGGTTTCTCAGATACATGGTGTAACACCAAAAGTATAAGCATGAAAAGAAAATAGATAAAATTGTGTCAGAACTGAAAACTCTCACGCTGTGGGGGACACCATGGAGCAAGTGAAAGACAAACCACAGAATGGGACAAAATACCTGCAAATCATTTAGCAGATAGGACTCTTGTACCCAGGATAAAAAGCTCTTACAACTCGATAAGAAAAGACAAGTAAGGTGATTGAAAGATGGGAAAGGATTTGAATAGACGTTTCTCCAAAGAACACAGATACGTGGACGCCAGGCACATGACAGCATAGTCACCATCAAAAGGCAAATCAAAACCACAGTAAGACACCGCCTTACACCCATCCAGAGGGGAGTGATTCAGAGGACACAGAACCCGTGTTGATGAGGGTGTGGGGAAATTGAGGCACACAGGCCCTCCCTGAGAGGGCACAGCACAGTCTGGCTGCTGTGGAAAGAAGCCTGGCGGGTCCTCAGAACATCGGACACAGAGGCACCGGGTAGTTCACAGCCCTGCTCTGAGGTGCATGGAGTAGAAACAAAAATACAAACTCACACAAAAATGTGTGTGTGGATGTTCATAGGATCATTATATATAATGGCCAAACCGTAGAAACAGCTCTGATGTCCATCCATGTAGTGGAATATTATTTGGCAGTAAGTAGGAATGAACGCTGATACACTGACGGGGAGAAGGCGGTCGCAGAAGACTGAATGTCGTCTGACCCCGTCTAGTGAAATATCCGGAGTAGGCAGGTGCAGAAAGGCTGGGCGTGGATCAGAGGCTGCAGGGTGGAGGGGCAGCAGGAGAAGGAGGGGTCACTGCTCCCGGGCACAGAGCTTCTTTGTGAACCTGTGAAAATGTTCTCAATCGACTGCAGTTGTGTAACTGTGAAAATACTGAAAACATTGCCTTGCACGCTGTAAAAGGTGAACTTTATGGTATGTGAATTAGATCTCAATAAAAATGTTGGTAGAAACACTTCTTGGGGTCCGCTGAGGCTTCAGAGGCTGCACTGCCGTCTTGCTGGTCCCAGCGCCTTCCCTCCCTCCCCCTCCATCCATCCCTGACAAGCCCCCTGCACACTGATGTCCGCTGCTGCCCTGCTCTCAGACCCCGCCTTCCACTTAGCAGTCCCACCTGCCACAGAAACTGGAGACGGGATTCCTCCATACGTGTCTGAGGCACAGTTCTACTTATTTGTACTTTTTCACATGAACAGGCATAAATATTTGGTTTAGTTTTTAATTACTTAATGCACATACACATAGATTTAGTTTTTTAGTCAAACTGAAAAATAAGTTTAAAAAGTGAAGTGTGTTTGTCTTCAAAACAAAAATGACTAAAATTATCAGTAATCATTTCTGTATAAGGCGTTCAGCTGATACATGCCTTACTGTAGACTGTAATGCAAAGATTTGGTGATAAGTGAATATTAACATCATCCTCTGACGGGGGTATCCACCTTCTGTTTTTCTTTACAGCACGCTGGAAGAATAAGAGTTGTCTTGGCCATACATTCAATACACAAACATTAAGGAAAGATGATTAGCAAAAAACAGTTATCAAAAGATTAGTCTGGGGCAGTACCTGGAGCTCAATGGGTAGGGCGCCAGCCCCATATACCAAGGGTGGCAGATTTGAACCCAGCCTCGGCCAAACTGCAACAAAAAAACAACCAGCATTGTGGCAGCTGCCTATGGTCCCAGCTACTCGGGAGTCTGAGGCAAGAGAATCACCTAAGCCCAGGAGTTAGAGGTTGCTGTGAGCAGTGTGACACCACGGCACTCTACCGAGGGTGATAAAGTGAGACTCTGCCTCTAAAAAAAAATAAAAGATTGGTCTGGGGCCCAGGTAGCAGGTTAGACACCTGCCTCAGCCCTGCAGGGAAGTGGGCCCTTGGGGCTGGCTGCACCTCAGGCTGACTCCTGCCCAGACCTCTGCTGGCCGGCAGGTCTCCCTTCTCCCTGAGGCCTTTCCCAAGCGCCCCTGTGAGGTTGCCTGGCCCTCGTGTCATCACTCCCCTAATGCCCTCCCCTTGCTCTTCCTTCCCTTCCTCCCTGAGCTGTCCATGTCACCGTCTGGCTGTCTGCACCATTTGCTGCTCTATCCTGTCATTGTTCATCTCACACCATTAGAACGCTCGCTCTTGCTGGAATCTTTGTCTCACGAAAATGTCCCAAGAGCCTAAAATGTCCCAAGAGCCTGACATATGTGGAGGCCCAGCAAATATTTGCCAAAGTAGAAAATGAGTTGAGATTAGGGCAGAATGATTAAGTCAGCCGTGTCAGGAGTTTCTGAGATCACCACCTCATTCTGATTCATTAGAAGGACTCACGGGACTCAGCATGTCGCTGTCCTCACAGCTGCCTGGTAAAGATGCCCGGCTGGGTCGTAAGAAAGGAAGATGGATCAGCAGAGTCTGGGAGAACCCACGTGCAGCCTTCCTCCCGCCCCACACACAGCTCTCCTCACACCCCACCCCCAGCAGACTTCCTCCCGCCCGCCCCACGTTCACACTTCCGCCCGCTCCGCCTTTCCCATGAAGAAAGAAGAAACACGTCCCCAGCAATGAAAATACAGCCACACATTTCTGCCCAAGGACACCTCTTGGACCAGTGTTCTTCAACCATTTTTAATCTCACAGCACAGCTGAACCTATGATTAAAAAGAATATACTTACTGTGCTTTGAACTTCTTTCAAAAATAATTTAGTGACCTTTAAAATTTTTTATGGCACACAGGTTGAAAATCACTACCATAGACACTCAACATCAGAGGCTTATTATCAGACGCTCTTCTGCTTAGCATGCACCTAAATCCCCGACTTGTGGAAGAAAGTGGGTGTTCAGCATCACCCGTCTGCACAGTCTCAGTGCAGTGATCCTCCCTCGGGTGTTCAGCGTCACCCCGTCTGCAC